GTAGCCGTTGAAACAGTTTATGCCGTATCAGCGTTTCCGTCGGTGCGGCAAATGGAGTTCACCTGTGACCGTGCTCTTTCTCTTTGCCATTCTGGTCGCGTGTGTTCGACCGTGCACGCGGTTGCACAAAGTAACAGGTTATTATCGTTAGTCTCGACCGTTTCGTGTTTCACTTAGCGGTTTTCGGAAAGAGGCTTCATCCTCAACTGAAAACTATTCGTTTCGAGAATTAGGAACTTCCAGGAACACGCTGGTTGCTCACATATTTAGCGAAAATACGCGAATGCACGTACAATTTGCAGAGTTAATTAAACAAAGAAAATGAAGCGGAGGAAAAAATACGGTGTAGCTTCGAGTGTGGAAACGTTGGCAAGTGACTAGCCGAAAAATGGCGGATCAGGCTGGCTAGGGTTGAACCGTACTCCAGGCTTCGACGGGCCTCGTTCGGAACCCCGGTAATGACGATAACGAATCGACGTAATGGCGGTAGGCAGCCGATCGTCGACTGCTGGCGACAACGCCGCCGCTTTGGAATTTGGAGCGTGGCAGAGCTACATAGGTAGGCACGAGCAACGACGATTATCGGAGTCGATCATTCAATTTTGCGCTGCAAATTGTCCGCGCCGGAAACTCATATCCGGGCACTTCCGGTTCTCCCTGGTTCCGCCCCCGGGAAGAGGAATCTGGCGAAAGGGCGGCCTCGCTGAATGGCCCGGTTCAAGAGCGAGCTAGGGACCTGAACAACGTTGACAGACTGAAAGAGAGAGAGAGAGGAGAGAGAGAGAGAGAGAGAGAGAGAAAGAAACGAGACGGAGGGAGAGCTCTCTTCTGGGGAGAAAGAGAGAAGTAGAGGAAAAGGAAAGGGTGGGAAAGAGAGAAAGAGAGGCCAGGGACAGACAGGAGAGAATCGAGGAACGGAGAGGTCGCAGGTTGGATAGACAGCAACAAGCACGATTTCGATTGATTGCTCGTCGTCCTACTAGGGCTTTTCGCGTCATTACCGATCTTGCTGAGAATGGAGTCTCACCTGTGCACTATCCTGATCCTCCATTCTATTGTTGCTGTTATAATCCTTTGTCGAATGTTATTCGTTCCTCCTTTATGTAGAGGTGTTTACATTCGATAGACTACCATGTAGAAATTGCGTTTTGTTCTATCAATAGTCGGATATTCGATGCTTTTGTCGTTATTGTATTTGTTTATCGAATGTCGCTAGCTTGTACATATCCATGTACTTGCTATACGTAGGTATTTATATTTGACAAAATAATCTGTACACGATTGTCCTTTCGGGAAGCAGGCGATGTTCTATGTAAAATTAGCGACGAAAAGTTACAACGAATTCGTCGTTCATCGGTTTCCTTGATTTTCGTGGTTTTTCTAACATCGAGCGTGTCTAATTCCGATTCGCGCTTTTTCTAATTCGAACGAAGGCAGGTTTCCGAATTCTCGTCCCCCAGAGTACTGATAAAATTTGATTATTAAACTGGAAGCGCATCTAATCCGCGCATTATTATTCATCGCCACACCGCCGTCAAACTGACGAATCTAGCGAAATTATTCTCGTCAATCTGTACTCTATTGGGAGGCGAATTGGCGTGTGCGCTGCTTTGCGGTCTCTTTGATCCATTCTCTTTCCTCTTTTCTTCTCGGTTCTTTTTCCGTGCAATTTCATCACGGAAAGCGACGGAAACCAGGAAATAGCTACCACGTTTACGTTTTTGCCCGAGGTCGCGAATAATCATAAAATCTTTTCTCATATCCGATTGTCGGGTGAAAAAAAATTATTAGCCGATTAACCGCGGCGAGCATAGGGCAAAAGTGACAAGGACAACGGCGAGCCGATGCAAATCGGGATTTGTCGAATCGATCGTCGTTCGCATCGAAGCGGTGATTAGGCCACAGATACTAACTATTATCGGCTGCGCCTACAATTAGTGTCTTTTAGCAGGCACGGTCTAAATTTTCGAACTGTTTCGGCAAACACATCGTGGCGTTCCGCGTGGATGATGATACTGGCTTCATTAACAGTTTATACTCCACTTAACCGGCTCGTTTGTGCGGATTACGCTCGAGAAGATCGCCCTATAAACTCTGCCGGATCGCGAGCAGAAGTCTCGTAAAATTATGCAGAATTCGGCTGGGTCCCACTTATGAGAACGTATCGGCGGGCCGACGTCCGCCTCCATACGGATTACATGTTTTCCTATTAACGCAAATTCCATCGATACACTCGTTTCGATACAGATACAGCGGCGATTCTCGATTCGATGCGCACTCGCGATAATCTCGCGATCGTTCTTCCCAGAGTGGATCCGGTGAACGGTCACCGATGTATGAAAATTTACACGGTCCGAGCGGCTCGTCGAACGAGCGCGATTTCTTGCTTCGATTATTCCTAAAACTGCGTCGCAGAAATTGAATTCTCAGGTAATCAAGCAATACAAATGCAAATACCAGCTCGAACGGCCGCGTTATCACCGCTTCGAAATATTCCGCATAAATAAACAATCGACGGTTACGAGTTACATTCATTTACAATATCGATCGACCAACGTGTTGCCGTTAAACCGGGCGTCGTTGATCAATCAACGATCTTGACGCGCGTTCGATCGTCGAACTACACCGCAGTGTTTTTTCCCTGATATTCAGAATGCCAGGTTCCGACGTTTCTCGCGATCTCTCGCTAATTTCGCCACGACACCAATTGTTTGTCGCGAGTTCTACGTCGAAGCGGACGCGGACGCGGTTCTCGGGTCAGAATCACGCGAGTCGCGGTCCAATTCGTCACTGTTCGCGTCGACGTGTTTCGGGGTTGATCGGTGTCGAACGATCGTTGGACGATTCGTGCGATTCGTAACCGTGAACAAATAGCCAATTATTCTTTTCCAAGTCATTACATCGTTCTGCGAGATTTACTGTTCCGTTTCATTCGTGCATCGTTCGCCTCGATTCGCCAATCAAAGCGACAGTTTGTAACGCTTCGCAACGGTGTCAGTTGATTTGTCAACGTTAGAGGTAATAACCCGTGCTATTGTATTATGCGTTGCATTTCCACCGTCCGTTCCCTGTTAACGTAACGAATTCAGTTCGAAAAACAGAGACATCGCGTATTAAACGCCTACGATTTTCTACAATAAATTCGAGTGACCTTTCGCTCGTTGTATTAAACGTTATATATATATGTTATTATATATATGTATATGTATATATATATATATATTGCGGAAAGTTAATTACGGCCGCGAAACTAGTCGACAGTCTACAAAAGACACTCGCCGTTAGAAATTTCGTGACGAGAACGTAACGAGGCATCGTCGACGGACGCATGAAAGCGCTTACCTTCCGCAAAGGCGTGCTCGAAGTGGCTTTTGTGCGATTCACGGCGCGCGTCACAAGAATAGTTGCCAGTATGCGTAACACCAATGGCATTACCACGCCTAGCCTCGGTTTCTCGCGAAGCGTTTGAAACGAGTGACGCGCCGATAGCGTCACACAGTTCACCAGGATTCGTTTAACGCGATTCAAACGAAAGTTGGCAAAGTTGGTCTGGTTACACGACAGCGGCAGTGTCAGTGTTGTACGGCGGGCACAAAGTCGGAAATCGCCTTCAATAAAGTGCAACTTTCGCGAGTTCGCCTCGTCGTCGTCGACTCGTCGCCGGAGTTTCGCGTTCTAAACGAGCGAAAACAACGAACAAGTTCGTCGGCTGGAGTTCTTCTCCGAAAAATTAGTCGCCAACGGAATCAGTCTCGTTGGACGAGTCGCTGGGATTTAGAGAAGGAGACGGTAACGAGAAGAAGGACGATGCGTTCCGGTAATTGGAACAATTTTTCAGGTGTGACGGAGCTGCTCTGTCACGATCGAAACGAAGAATCGCTTTTGTCGCGGCCGTTTAAACGCGACGAGGCGACCGACGAAGAAAGAAAGTTGGCCAGCCTACTAAAAATTCAAAACGCGGGCGAATTTCCTTGGGAATAAATTTCCAAGTTTCCTTCGCGAGAATAGCCGAGCAAATACGGCGTCGCGAGCTTATCCAACCCTGGAAGGAGCTAGAAAGTTTGACGCATTGCCGGTGAATAAACCGAAACGATTGTTACGCAACGTTTGCGTAAAGAAAGGGGGAAAGAACTTTTTTAACCGTACGTCGTGTGTTACGTGAATTCTATAATAGCCAAATAATAAAAGAAGGAAAAAAATGAACCGCGAGAGATTAGTTGACTTTCTTTAACGTTTCAAAGCTACCGTTTCTTTCAGCTCGTGTTATTCATCCATATCGAGGACAACGACGATAGACTATGAATAATAGTCAATCCAATATAACGACGACGTGAGTAACTGATAACAATGTACATCGCGCTATAAAACGATATAGCATCCTGATCGAAACTACATTTTCAAATAACTATACCTTGTGAAAAAAGTTGCGAGTTGAAAACTCGCGATGCGCCGACAGCGATAACCCTATCGTCAGAGGCTGATGGAAAAGAGTACGTGTTTTCGCCTCGAGGAAGAACGTCGCATCCACGGGGACAAAACATGTCCTTGACTGCCGTTATAAACCATCGACGAGGTCTTCTCGGGTAATACCAATTTCTCGTTTTCTAATTTTCTTTCCAGATATTATTCGATCATACATACGTACGTACATACACGCGATTGATATATCATATCATCGACGACATTAATAACATATCGAAACCAAAATACTATGGGGTCTTGCATGATCAACGCGATATACAAGAGCGCAGAAAGCGTATAATTTTACGATCATTGAATTCAGTTTTCCAATGAAACATTTTCAACGTGACGGTCCACTGATTCGTTTGAATTTATTTCGCTGAGTGTATTGACGCGAAATCGACCGGTTCACTACGGTTAAATACCTGCCAGGTTCTTCGCAAATGTTCACTGAAATAGCGTTCTATATGTTTTAATCGTCACGAAACGATCTCTGTCTCGAATCCAATGAACGTCAAACGCGAAACGCGAACTGATTCCCTTCCGATAGAGCATTGATTTCAGGGTTAGGCAGTAACATGTCGCTACCCTCCTGCATCCCTCAGGATCAGGAATTTGTAACGGGACACACGACAGGATGTAAAATACCGTTGTTAAACAATCGGAATCATCCGGAGAGGAACGATCACGAAAGGCAACGACCCAATTTCCTACCACTGTCACCTGTCAACGCGGCTTACGTGTCTGTAAACGCTTTGGAACCAGCGAAGGGTGAGCGCGTTTTTATTTACGAAAGTGCACACTGAAAGCGATTAAGGGATGTTGAACGATATTGAACATTTCGTTCGATAGTCAAGCAACAGATGATCGAGCAACGACCAAAATTGACAGAGAAAAGAAAGTGTCACGCGGAAATAGTGTCCATTATGAGTACTCTCTACGCGAATTTGTTGATCGTAGTTGGACTCGCTGTACCTATCACTGCTAATGTGACGGAAAGAGTTCCAGCTTCGTTGAATCAGGTGCTAAGTTTTCTTATAAATATTCTCTAACGTCGTTAGAAAGGATATCATCTCGAGAAGTGCGCTATAATGAATCTGTTTAGGGTTTCTACTTGTATTTATACGTAGTGAGCGTCACGTTCGTGATCTCTTTGTACGTAATGGTATGGAGGGACAAAGCCGAGAAGAATATGGTGCGGAGAAACGAGAAGGAAGAGGCGTTAAAATTCGACGAGAAGGGCGATCGCGTGAACGCGTGTCAGGTAAATTTGCGCTTCGAAAATATTTAATCGCCTCCGAAATGAACTTGGAATCACGTCCAACGTTGCCATTACCTTTTGCACCCGCGAATGTTTGTCTTTGTCAAAGTGTCAGAAACGATCAGAGACAATCCCTTTCGCGTGTCTCGGCCTGTACAACTGTTCGCTAACTGACAGGCCAATCATTCGTTACACCGACTCGGCCATTGAATAATTTGTACGAAAACATTTCTCATCGAGCGTGTGAATTCGCGAACAGTCCGGTACATTCTGATTAACGAGTCTCATTCAACCGCGTAACACACGTACAATACACAGATGTAAAAAAAAATCCTTCTTCCCTTAGACGCAACAGTACGGCAGCTTTTGTCTGAGACTCGGCGCAGTGGGATTTGGCGCTGGCTCGTTGGTATTTACGGGATTGCAAATTGGGGCGGAAATAGCTTCCGGTCCGTTCAGGGCGATTACACCGGGTGCCAGGCTGCTGCTAGTTACGGCCCAGATGCACTTTATATTTCTCAACAGTAAAAGTCTCAACTTGGCCAAGCACGCCGCTCTCGCCAAGTTAGGCCTGATGCACATGATCGCGACTAATCTCTGCGAATGGTTGCAGGTACGTGGACCGATGAATAAAATAGAAACATTTGTTATCGCGAGAAGCAAGATGATTGAACAACCTGATACATTACACACTCATCGTGTTTATTCGAAACGCGATTCAAAAGCGAAACATCGTTGCATCAACTACATAGTAGAATGATTCGAGTCAATTTGCCAGTGATCATCGCGTCATGTCCGACAACATTCGAAAACGTTTCAATGATAACCAACTCGAATAAAGGGGAAAGAACATACCAGCTACAGAAATGATATCACTTTGAACGTCAGCCAGCATTTCGATAACCATTAGCATGAACGAGCGGTTAGTGTCGATTAAACGTATTTACCATTTATCGAAGCCGAATTCGCTGTTTATTTCTGTATTCATAGAAACGCGCGCTACCGGTTTTAACCAACACTAGGTCTCATTTTCACGTGGAAATGGAAGTAGTCGCGTATCAACGACCGGGAACAGTTACAACGCGTGGCTTTTGATCTTTGTGTTATGAATAAGCGCGAGAGCGAGCAACGCGATTCCGTCGCGCAGCCGATGTTTTCACCGTTGTGTTTCCGTCACGTCGATACGCGTGCGTCAACGTGAATTTTTCACGAGTCCTCAGGCATTCCGTTTGTTTGCCAAGGCGTTGGTCGAGGAAACGCAACACGAGATCGATCAGCTGGGCTACACGCACGACGACGATGACGGTATCCTCAAGTCGCTTCTGAGAGACGCCAGCCCGTTCCTTTTCCCGTGCACAATTGAATTCAGTTTAATTTGCGCGGTGATACTGTTCGAGATGTGGAAGAGGGTGGACGAGAAGATCGATGCTAAAAGCGAGATCCCGACGAGATCTTCGTATCACCTTAGCATAGATTGCAGCAGCTCTCACAAGTCAGCCTGGAAATTTAATTAGTCCGATAGAATTCCCCGTTAATTTGTTAATGCGATATCGTTGAGATTTCAAGATTGTTTCGTTCCGACGTTTCCTTCTCGACGTTTTTCAGAGGTCTCTTTGGCGGAATTCTAGTCGTTGCCGCGACGATATTGAGCTTGATCATGTTCTTCGTGCTGAAGGAGGCCAAGATGAAGATCGCGATCGTTCAGGTTACCTCGTTGGACGCGACTATACTTATGTTAGGTAAGTGACGATATTTTATGGAATTATCGTATCGTATCGTATGTCGCTATTTTGAAATTTACAGTTAACGGAGATCAATGATCCGCTTTGTCACCAAGATATTTTCGGTATTAAATTTCAGCGAACATCATGCGTTAAAGTCGCTCAAAACATCATAAAATCCCAATATTATTCTGTTTTATTCTTATAAATCAAAGAAACGATCAACGATCGTAGGTATGATCGCTTCGGTCGCTGGGACATTGAAATTGCAAGCGTTGCAGCAAAAGATTATCAAGCCATCGGACTTGGATACCACCCTGTTGGCGGCAGCTCAAGCTGGGGTCTATCTGCATTGTCTGTTCGGAGTTGTTGGTGATATATTGACAATGGGTCCGACCTGGGTACTATCGCTTATCACAGATTTATTGGCCCTGGTACAGAGCACGAGCCAGACACTGCTTATTAAAGTAAGAAACTGATAGCACGAAGAATAAAATCTTGCGCTATCGACAGGTAGAACAATCGTCTTTCGACTATTCAAAAATTTGTAGAATGCGTGGGGAAGACGTTGCTCCAGAAACGACAAGCCTGGCAAGGAACTGATCACCTTTCTGATAGTCGTGAATATCGCCTTATGGACAGTGAACACATTGGAGAAATCTCGTGCGGGGGTTCGTCCGGATCATTTACGGTTCTTCGGTGTATGGGCATGGACCATCATAACGCACGTGTCTATGCCATTGGCTATATTCTATCGGTTTCATTCGGCGATATGCCTGTTCGAAATATGGAAGACGTGTTACAAATGTAGATCCAACAGCGTCGTTCAAACCCCTTACTAAGTTATCTGATTCAAAACGATGACTTTATAGTACGGTTATTTTGATAAAATTGTTACTTTTCATAAAGAGTACATGTAAAGCACACAAAGAAATTGCGTTATCCTTCGACGTTCCTTAATTACCATTTAACTTGGCAAACACAAAAGAGAAAGAGAAAGAGAGGCAGAGAGACTGAGAGAACAGGAAAAAAGAATGAAGAAAAGAGGACTGGCGATCCTTCGCAAATAACAACGTTACAAGACACAAAAGGCAAACTTGTCCGCAACGTTTACTACCTTGCACGGGAACTTCTAAGCTGGCGCCAAAGACAAAGGGTAAAAGGGCCGTTTCAAAGCCTTCTTCGTTGGCTGCGACGATGTTGGCGAGGACGAGGACGAGGACGAGGACGAGGACGCGACGTGCCATGCTCGACGCAAATCGATAGAGGTGCGTACTTTTATCGGTGTACCACAGAGAAAAGATAGACGGTAACGATGATGGTGGACGGTCGACAGTTTGATACGGTTTACGGTAAACACATTTCGGTAGCAATCACATCACGAGGCAAGCAAGCCTCGCTGCAGCGAGAAGTAGGTGATGCTTCGGTGGTTGGAGAAAGCGAGCGAGTGGACGGTGAAGAGCTCTTAGCCAACCCTTTGTTGCTCCTGCCACCACTATTGCACCCTCTTCCTTCATCACCCTGCCGGTCCCTCTGCTCTGCCCTCTTTAACTCCTACCCTAAACGTAGTGGAGGCTGTACTCTTGACCAAAGGCTTCTGATTTACTTAGCCTATCGAGTGCTCTCGGACTCGTCCACCAAGAATACCATGTACGCGTCCCGCCCGTGTACCTTGTGTTCCGAAATTTCGAACTTAATGCTCCACTTACCGCCCGTCTACCTTCCGCGTCAAGATTTCGAAGACCTGATTGCGTTCGCCATCGTATAAATAAATTTTTCAAGTAAAAGATCGGAACATGCTTAATTACTCACGGGGCTGAGGTGTTTCTTTCATCGGAAGAAAGCGTAACTATTAGTCGGAAAACTGAAAACAATAATTGTTGGGAAGAATTTTGCACAAAAACATGTATGAATCTTGGGCGAAAGGAGAAAGAACAGAGGGTGTTAGTAACAGCCGTCACAATCCTCTAACGCTCGTCGTAGCTTTTGTTTTTTTTACGGATTTAACCAGGATTTACCGTCTCTACGACCGCCTAGCTGCGCGACCTACCACCACCAGCATCGGATACAATCTGCAACGCGCGCATGGAAAACGTTCGGCTTCCAAGGAAACGTGAAATCTTAGATTTGCCCGGCTTTCGTTGGATATCCTGAACTACGTAAAAAATACTCGCACGAATTTTTAGGAATTTTTAGGATCGACAGGTCGGAAGCAGAACGAATGAAATTCGTAGGACAATCTAGCGCCATAGGTCGTAATCCATTTACCTAATTTAATTGGCAGTAGAATTTAAAGTTGCACCATAAGCGGTGACCGTAATTGTCGTATAACGAGTCATCTATTAACGATAATAGTTATTATCGGACTGAATCGGCCACGCAACGAGAATATCGATTATTATTAACGACGAGATTATTTATAGCGGGGACACCTTGAAAGCGAAATAATCAAGGACTGTGTGAATTTGCATTTAACATTCGATGAATACGAAACGTTTCGCGCGAGTTTGACCGTTCGCGCGATAATTCTTGGACGAGGTACGATGCTCCTTGTATCGGTCACAGAAAAATCTTGCAATTTATCGGCTCCTGTCCTGTAACTCCCGTCGATTCGAACGTCCACGTTGGCAGAAAGGAACCAAGCGTGGAAAAGGAAGAAAAGGCGATGCGACAACGACGGGACCAGGAAACCTTGATATATCCTCCAAACACAAGAAGAGAGAACGTCTTGGCGGATTTATCGGAACAGCAGATAATGGATGGTCTCCCAGCAGGGGAACTTTTTTGAATAATATAACGTACAACTAGCGGAAATGCTTCGATTTTATGGCGAATTGAAATACGCTTATACCTTTTCCTCTTTGTCCTTTTCTCCGGTAAATACTGCAATAAAATAATCGCCCGCCGAAAGGAATAGCCTCTTGTTGTCGCCCACGGCCATCAGCGGAGGACCGAAAACGTATCGACACGTGAAATCATTAAACGTTCGAAATAAAATTATCTCGGCGAGAGCGGAGCGTAAAGGAGCCATGCGAAGGGTCAGCGGCCATTCTCTTTCTCGACCCAATTACACGAGGCTTTAATGAATTTTCGATATGGTCGTAGCTGCCCGCTACGACGCGTTGATAAAAAGAATGAGGAAAAACAAGTAAATTATTCGGTCGCTGTCGATGTAACTGAAATAAGGAGAAACAGCGTGAAGGTGGAAAGGGAGGGGTAGACTTTGACGAAAAGATATGACAGTGGTATTGGGTGGAACGACTCTACCCGACAAATACCACTGGCGGAGGTCGTCGATTGGACGATCCTCGGGAATGTATTTAATTCGATTGGACTCTGCCTCCATCTGGACGAGACAAGAGAGAAGAAGGGAGGGTAACTCGCAGCAAGGACGAGGGAACCTCTGTTTCCGGCGGAAATGAGACCTTCGCGACTCGTACTCCCATCCTCCGCTACCAATTCTGCCTCCTCCTGAACGCTTTCTCGAACCTCTTCGATCAGCCTATGGCCGTTTCCCTAACCGAGCTATCTATCTATCGCTGTCTATCTCGAGGGTGAGAATGCAAATCGTATTTATACTGTATCTCACGCGACCAGGTAAATATTTCAAGCAGCCATAGTTAGCCGCGTTTCGTGCGAAACTTGCTCTCTGGAAATCATTGAAATCCGCTTGCCGAATTACCCGCGTTTCCCGCTCTTTCCAGCTGCCTCGTCCCTCATCCATCCCGATCCGCCCCTTTCCACGTTTCGCTCTCTTTCAAATATTTAAATTATAAATATTTACCGATGTCGCGAAACTCTAGTTTCTGACCGAAACGTGCGACTGAAAGCAGACGTTGTAATTTGACAGCGATATTATCATTATTGGACGACCGTTTATTGCGATTTATTGAAATACATGGCCGTGCGTCGGGCAAATTGGAACTTAAACAAATCCCATTTCTACGATGATACCGTGTTTTCTATTATAGCAGTGACTCCGTAGGAGAATAGGAATGGTAAGCTTAGTAAAAATAAAAAAGACATTAGCGGAAGAAAAAAAAAGGAAAAAAAGAAGGAAGGTGAGACGAGGTAAAGTCGGAGTCGGAAAGACTTACTAATGCTCCCTCGCAGCTCTGCTGAATGTCGCTTGGTCTCCATGGATGTAATTTTCACTGTATGCCCGGATTAGAAGCCAGCTCGTCGGAGGCTCCTCCATGGTATGCCGCTTGATAAGTATTGCCCCATACCTCTTGAATACACTAGAACTGGAAAAGGGATTCGAGATGATCTCAAAGCGGTCGATTGGCCTCGACGTGACGTTACGGGTCACGGAGATAGGCAGCTGTTATGTCTCATTAAAAATCCAGGTGCTATAATAGCGCGGATTAATGATAAGAGCATAAAGGCAGGAGAATCATGTAGGTTGTCAGAACGTAAAAGCTATTATTACGATACCTGTCGTTGCCATTTCGATGAGATTGAGTTTACTTAACGTCTCGAGAGAAAAATATCCATCAATCTTTCCAAAGAAGTAGATCTTAAGAAACCAATACTTGATACGCATACTTTTATATATAAATTTATCTATATTTAACACGCGTGTACACAATTTTTGCGACACGGTCAATGTGAAGGATATTTTACCTAAAGATATTGAAACATCTTTCTTATAGGTCTTGTGTGTGTCGGTGAAACCAATATCTATTTAAAGTAAAAAAATTGCTGATCGAAAGAGTGGATTACGTGAATTCACCGTTCTTGAGAAGGGCAAGGACAAAACTTTTGCTAGATGGTATTTCTTACAATCAGATAAGCGGATCATTGGAAAATTCGGTAAAAAAATAATCCTAGGGAAAAATGCACTGGCGTAAGATACTTCTATATCTCTATATTCGACTCTTTAACTCCAAATGATGCTGTGAAAAAGAAATGTAAAATTATAGTTGTGTGTAGAGGTAGAGGTGTGCTTTTTAATGAAACGATGTGAAAAAATATATGAACTAAATAATTATTTAATTTATTTTCCTTTATTTATGTTCTTAGGACTAAGAAGTACATTGTCATATAATGCATAACGGATAAGATAAGAAACTTTCAATAGCTCATAGTTTTAGTATTCGCTGTTTTAACTCAATAGATAGATCATTATAAAGTTGATACTGCTGGTGCAATAATGTTTTAATCACGTTGTGTTTCAAGCAAATTTGTAATTTATTTTCCTTGCCAAAAGCACTGCAATGACGCTTGTAGATATGCCGCCGATTTTTTTTTTTTTATGATGCTGTTACGTCGATTATTTAAATGTCTTTTATTCACATATGTAGTTAAACTTGCATCGGCTTTGGCATTCTGGAGGGTTCAGATGTTCGTGGTAGTTGAACACACTCAGCTAATGACCGTATCTAAAATAAATATAACAGTTGCATGTCGCAATTAGTATATATATAAAACAGAAAAGTTATACAAAATATATGAACATTTTTTGTGCTTCTTCTACAAACACACAATTTTCAAAAGCTTTAAGAAGCCTGTTGTGTATTGTTGTTTGTTGTAAATTGTACTCACTTTTGGAACTCCCACTCTCGATTATCAAGTGGACAAACTTGTCGAGTCTTCAACCAACGTGAGATGCAATGGAAATGGAATGCATGCTATGCGAAAAAAAAGTGTAAAAAATTAAAATAAAAAAGTTAAAATATTTTACTTCTGCTGTTGATACTAAATGTGTATTGTAACAAAATGCTATAACGATAAAATGCATACATTGCATACACCCCAAGCTACGGTACATTCTTCGCTAGTAGCTGACGCTTGATTTGCTTGACATTCAATACATAAATCCATTATATGATTACGGCAGATCGCGCAATTATCTACTACAATATCTGTAAAATAATAAATTTTATAATTATTGGAAAAATCTTGCGACATAGGTATTAAATTAACCATATTATTTTTTACAATAAATTATATATATAATGTAATTTTCGAATACGTACCCCACGCCCAAAGGGCCACAGCATTCCACTGTAATATAAAATTTCGTATTTTCAATTAAATATTACAGATAAACCATGCGAATATAATAAAAATGACAACGCAAAAATGAGGTTAGGATTCGTGGATTAATTTCTTAAAACTTTTTAAATTTATAAGAGATTTATGAAATATTTTCCTAATTTCTTTGTCTCACCTTTTTTACTTCGAAACGTTTTTTCTCTCCTTTACTACTACTCGAAGTTGGTAAATCACTTTCTTCATCATCAATTTCCATTGCCGACGCCATATTTAAATTTTGATGTCTGAAGCCAACTGATACCTGACACCTTGTGTAAGAGATTCGAAGTACAATGTATAGGCGATACGAAGGCACGAATCTGTACGAATGTATTTACAAGTTACAAGTTTTTTCAATTATTTAACATTTTGTGCGCGTCATAAATTGTCATATTGTATAAACATCAATACCTTCATTTCGTATTGAAAACAATGTTTAAGAATCAAAGTATCTATTGTAGAAACGACATATAGTACTATGTCATTGTATCGACATTAGGTTATGTTTTTGAAGAGGACCTAATGCATGAAGGAACATGACAGTTACTTCGACCATTTAATAACTAGATAAGACCATTTTAATTTTGTTTCGGTGTAATTTCTAATCCGTACTTTTGTAATTCGTAACGCAGTATAAAATATATTGCACGATGAGGCGAAAGGCAGGCGTTGGTGCTATTCAAAAACAAAAGCTGGAGCGAGAAAAATATAGAGATAAGGGAACTGAGATTCAAGAAAATCAGTTTGAGCAAATGACAAAGCATATGGAAACATTTCGCGTGAATTTAGAAGAATTCGCCTCAAAGTATAAAAATGAAATTAAGAAAAATGCACGCTTTCGGCGGCAATTTACTGAAATGTGTGCATCAATAGGTGTAGATCCTTTGGCCTCGGGTAAAGGATTTTGGTCAGTTCTTGGTATAGGAGATTTTTATTATGAACTTGCTGTTCAAATTGTTGAAGTTTGTATGGCTACAAATTATAAAAATGGTGGATTGATATCATTGGACGAACTTAGGACAAGATTGATACAAGCCAGAGGCCGTAGGAAAGAACACCAAGAGATCACAAATGAGGACTTATTAGCTGCAGCCAAAAAATTACGAATTTTTGGAAATGGATTTTCTATTGTTCCAATTGGACGTGGCAAGCATTTAGTACAATCTATTCCTGGTGAATTGAGTATGGACCATACTGCTGTGTTACAGCAAGCTAGTTTATCTGGAAATGCATATATTTCAAGAAATATGCTGTGCAAGGAGTTAAAATGGGAACCAGATAGAACACAAAAAGCCTTGGACCACATGGTAAAAGAAGGACTGGCATGGTTAGACGAACAAGGTGAAAATGAAACATTATATTGGTTTCCTAGTTTATTTACAGCCTGCATTGTATCCAAAGAGTAAGCACAATATTGACTTTACTATATATAGATAGACAGTGTTTAAAAAAAGGATATCTGTAGCATAAAATGTATTTTTATTGTGAATAAATTTACATATTCCTGTAATATGTACATGATGAAACATCCATTATAAAGTTCTTGTAGATGCAGAAAAATATCACCTAATTTCATTTGGTTCATTAAATCTAAAACAAAATATCCATAGTTAGTCCAAAATATCTTATATTACATGAATACAGTAAATACAGACTTCTGTATATCCTCAATTGCATGTTGTGCCAATTGTTGTTTGCAAGTTAATAATTCTCTATTTAATTCGTTATTTTCCTTCTGTAAGAAATTTATCTTTCCCCTGAGTTCTTTAGATTTCCCTTGAAATTTAACTGTCAAAGATTTTGCTTCATCCCTCCATCTAAAATGTAAAATAACATAATGATACAGATAATTTCTCATTTACATCTGGAAAAAGTTTATGTACTTTTTACTTAATTTTTGGTGAACTTGAACGTGATTGATTAACTCCTTTGTTTTTCTATCAAATTTCTCTTGCAATTTATTCATATAATCTGATAATGCAGACTGACAACAATGACATTTGTTTTCAACTCTGTAATAGAAATATTTTTTATAATATCGCTTGACTTAATAAATACTTGTATTTACTTACGTAATATCAAAGCTAGGCTTATTTTTGACATATGGATTTATTCCATCAGTAATGTCATCTCTAAATTTATTTTCCTTTATACAAGTTGCTTTATGAAGATTAACTTCAAGTTCTTGAATTTTATTTTCAAGAGAGTGCCTTTCATTATCTCTTTTCTGTATTTCATACTCAAAATCATGTTTCAATGACTTTAATTGCAATACAAGATTTTCTTTATCACCTAATGTTTTAGCTAATTGATTCTCTAAATCCGAATATTGTTTCATTATATCTTTATTTTTATGATCAGCTTTATTCATCTGATCTTGTATGTTACTAGTTTGCTGTTCCTCTAACTTCTGTAATTTATCATTTGAAGTACCCAGCTTACTCTCAAGAACAATAATTTTTTCTCTTAATTGCTTAATTTCCATATCATATTTATTTTTAGCTATTGTTTCATCGTATACTTGTAACTGAAGTTCCATACGTTTGGCTTTTTGTTCATATTCTAATACTTTCACATTTAAATCTCTACGTATTTTGTTTGATTCTTCTTCAGTAAATTTCAATTCTCTCTGAGCTTTTTCTGCTGCTGTTATTTTTGCCTTTAGTTCTGCCTTAAGTTCATTGATCTCTGTTAGATACCTTTTCGTATTTAACTCAATCTCATCTCTTGTTTTTTTATTCAACTCTTGTATTTTTACATCATATTCATTACCTATTACATTTAGTCTCTGTTCTAATCTGGCTTTTTCTTCCAATACAAGAGTTTCACGACGAAGCACCAAATCCTTTTCTCTAACTGCAGATTCTATCAATTCAATAACTTCTCCCATCTTAGTCTTTGTTTCCTTGTCTCTTTCCATTACGTTTGCAGCATATGTTTTAACTTCATTCAACTGTTTTTCTAATTCTAATTTTGCTTGTACCATTTTATTGGTTTCTGTTTTGGCATAAGCTAATTCCTGTTTTAACGTTTCTATCGTCAGCTGGTTATTCCTGTCTTTTTAAAAAATAAAAATAATGTCTCTATTTGTTATTGCAAATTATAAATAGATGTTACTGACCTTTATCATGGGCGCTCATTTCAAGATCTTTATATTTTTCTAAAAGTTTATCCTTTTCATTAGTCAAACTGCTAATTTTTTCTTTACTACTTTCATACAGTGTTTGATGTTTGATAAAATTATCTTTGGCCAACGCAAGTTTTTCCTCTAACATTCTAATAGCTTCCGAGTAACTTTCCTTAATAGCATTTGTTTGTTCTTGATGAAATTTTGTCCCTTTCCCATACACATGAAATCCTTTTAATTGATCTTCTAAGGCACTTACAGTATCCAGGGAAATATGCCATAGTTGCAAAGCTGAATCTTTTTCTGTTTCTAACAGCTTAATACGTTCTTGTAAATTTTTTATTTCCTTTTTATGTGCATCTTCGTCATCGCATTCTTCTAAATGAATACGATTCAGGGATTCTTTTATATCGGTAACCTTTTGATTCTCATTTCGCAGAATTTCTAATTCAACTCGCATATTGTATTGTTCTGTCTAGAAAGTGGATATATAACAAATATTTTTAGGTGCATATATACAATGTTTTAATTTGTACAAACGGTATACCTTGCATAAGTGCAAATCTCGTTTGAGGTCCTCCACAATTTCATATTGTTCTTCGAGCAACGTATCCCGCTCGCTGCTATTGATAAAAAAAACTTACCAAATATATTTATCATAAATAAAACAAAGAATACAGGAAGATATATAACCTTAAAGCTAACCTTTGTTTCCGAGCATCATCGTGTTCTGTATCGAGCATTTTATCGCTAGAATGATTTATGTTTCGCAATATTATGTTGCGTCAAGGAACATGATGAAAGATATATTGTACGTTTAATTTACATTTGCAATGTTTCGGGAGATATTTCAAGCAACATCATTGAAGCCGGACGCGTAAACATCAACAATGTTTCATTTTACCGATAGCGCACAAATGCATGCATTCAACAGGATGGTCGATAATAGTACATAAAATGTTAATATCCTGCAGTATATTTAAAGCATTGCAATAAAATCATACATTAAAATTCTAAATTCATGTGATTGTCCGTAAAACTTTCTCTGTTATAAAATACAAAACATGATGTGCAAGCAGATGATATAATACCGACTGAAGATGATTCATGTAGCGGCAAATTTATCATTTACCAACAAGCCAACATTTCGAATAATCGTATTCGATTACACGTAGAAAATGCGCGTGAAAAGGTAAAAGTATAAAAGTTATGAATAGTAAGTATAAAATATACGTATCCATATAAAAAAAAGTCATTTATTCGTATCATTGTATAAGCTTTCGTTTTAGCGGGCGTCTCTGTTAAATTGTTCAAAAAAGGCTGCAGTCGGTTTGTTTTTGTAGAGCACACGGTTCAGATAATCCTGATGAGATTTGTGTTGTTGCGCGAGTTCCAAGTTCTCCTCTGCTATCTTCTTCTTAATCTCTCTGCAACGTATCGATTTATTCAAATCCCCCCTTTTTTTTGTTATAATTCAACAAATGTTTAACCTAAACCTCTTACGTTCTTCTCCGGTCAATTTCACGTTGATACGAATCCGCTATCTCTGCCTGGGTGTTCATTAACCGATCCCATTCCTCGTCCCTTCGCTTCTCCTCTAATCTCATTTTCTGGAAAAAGAGGTTTACCCTGAGCGAGCCAAATTTTTTGTTCCCCTGGCCGTGCCCTCGCATGGCCGTGACAACGGTTGGCACTGTTTCAACCATCCGCGGCGCATCGTTAAAACCGCGCAAAACAAGCGTTCATTCCATCGGCTTTTACCTCGATTTCTTTCAGCTGCTGTGTTTGCGCCTCTCTGAAAACCCTAAGCTCGTCCGCAGTCATGCCCTTGTAACGTGAGGCCAACGGTTTGTGCGGTCCATGAGTGCTCTCCGCCTGCTCTTTGGCTTCCGTAAGGAAGTCCCCAGTCACGTGATTGTAGATATCCGCCTTCTTGTCCTCCTCCTCTTGAAGGGCTTCGCAGTGGCGGCGG